TGTGTTTGCTCCTTGTGCAATCTGTACTACATGAGATTCATCCAGGATTTCTCCAAGATAGCAGTTCCGCTCACCCGACTGACCAAGAAGTCGGTGGTGTTTCGCTGGGGGCCTGAGCAGCAGGCAGCATTTGAGACCCTCAGACAGAGATTGTGCGAGGCGCCGTTTCTCACCCTGCCAGAGGGAGTAGAGGATGTTGTAGTTTACTGTGATGCTTTGATCACAGGTATGGGAGCAGTGTTGATGCAACGAGGGCATGTGATAGCTTATGCCTCTAGACAGTTGAAGCCTCATGAGGCTAACTATCCGACGCACGATTTAGAGCTGGGGGCGGTGGTGTTCGCCCTCAAGATTTGGAGACATTACCTCTATGGGGTCCGCTATATCATTTACACGGATCACAAGAGTTTGAGGTACCTCATGGATCAGCCGAATCTGAACATGAGGCAGCGCCGATGGTTGGACGTGGTAAAGGATTATGACTGTGAGATCCTTTATCATCCGGGCAAGGCCAACGTAGTGGCCGACGCCCTGATCCGCAAGGCGGTAGTAGCCCCGATCAGGGATGTATGTCTGAGGATGACAGTGATTACTCCATTGTTGGAGCAGATCAGAGAGGCACAGGTTGAGGGCCTGAAGGAGGAGAGGCAGAAGTGTGAGAGGATTGTGGGCCGAGTAGCTTCCTTTGACTATGACAGTCGAGGATTGTTGACCCTTCATGGGAGAGTTTGGGTACCATACTGGGGAGGAGTACGACAGGTACTGATGGATGAGGCCCACAAGTCTCGGTTCTCCATTCACCCAGGGGTGACGAAGATGTACAGAGATCTTCGACCCGATTATTGGTGGCCCTGCATGAAGCGGGACGTAGCTAGGTACGTGGAGAGATGCCTGACCTGCAGGAAGGTCAAGGAGGAGCATCAGAGACCCCACGACAAGATGCAGCCGTTAGACATTCCCGTGTGGAAATGGGAGGATATCACTATGGATTTCGTCACTAAGCTTCCCAGAACCGCACGTGGAGTTGATTCGATTTGGGTCATAGTGGATCGGCTGACCAAGAGCGCGCATTTCATACCGATTCAGGAGAGCATATCGGCCGAGAAGCTAGCCGATATTTATGTGCGCGAGGTAGTGGCACGACATGGAGTGCCTGTATCAGTAGTATCAGATCGAGACGTCCGGTTCACTTCCAGGTTTTGGAAGCGGTTTCATGACGAGATTGGGAATCGTCTTCACATCAGCACCGCTTTCCACCCTCAGACGGACGGGCAGAGCGAGAGGACGATTCAGACTCTCGAGGACATACTGCGGGCATGTGTTCTAGATTTTGGTGGCAGTTGGGATACATATCTTCCATTAGCGGAATTTTCGTATAACAACAGTTACCACGCCAGTATTGACCGCCCTCCTTTCGAGATGCTTTATGGGAGGAGGTGTAGGACCCCGATTTGTTGGGGCGAGGTCGGTCAGAGGGTCATCGGGAGCACTGAGGTGGTGCTCAAGACCACAGAGTTGATCCAACAAGTCCGTAGCAGACTGCAGACTGCGCAGAGTCGGCAGAAGAGTTACGCCGACAGGAGGCGTTCAGATTTAGAGTTTCAGGTGGGCGATATGGTCCTCCTGAAGGTATCACCCTGGAAGGGTGTTATCAGGTTCCAGAAGAGGGGCAAGTTGGGCCCCAGGTTCATTGGTCCGTTTAGGGTTTTGGCCCGAGTGGGTCGGGTTGCTTATCGGTTGGATCTTCCAGCAGAGCTTAGCCAGATCCACAACACTTTCCATGTTTCTCAGTTAAGAAAGTGTTTGGTGGATGAGTCAGCAGTGGTACCATTGGAGGATATCCGGGTTGATAGCAGCCTGAATTATATCGAGAGGCCAGTTGCGATCTTAGATCGGAAGACGAAGACCTTGAGGAACAAGGTTGTTCAGTTAGTGAAGGTGCAGTGGCAGCACCGGAAGGGTTCAAAGTGGACGTGGGAGGCCGAGGAGGAAATGAAGGAGCATTACCCAGAGATATTTTTAGATTCAGCAGCAGCAGACTTCGAGGACGAAGTCTAAGATAAGTGGGGGAGATTTGTAACGCCCCATCTCTGGTATGTAATTTAATTAAAGTAATTTTCATTTCTTAAGGGGTACTCGACGAGTCTGTAGCCCGACTCGTCGAGTAGAAGCGGGATGAGCTCGCGATTTAAGTTGGCTACTCGGCGAGTCCATATGTTGGGACTTGGCGAGTCTGCCTGTCTGGATGAAGCCCTAATTTCAAGGGTTTGTACCCTATTTAAACGTCATTATAGCCTCGCACACCAGCCTACAGCACCTTTAGAGCATTTCCCCTGTAAACCCTAGCCCCCATTGTTGAGTTTGAGTGTGTTTGTGCTAGTTTGGAAGTTTTGGAAGAGAAGGAAGGAAAGAAGGTCCATAGAAGAGAAAGGAGATCCAAGAGTTAGCTTCCATCTGTTTCTCATTCAGGTAATAAAGCTATTACCTTGTGTATTCCTCTATTAAACCCTCTTTCATGCTTGTTATGTCTTCTTTGGAGCCTCTTATGATTCAAAACTTGAGATATGGACTCTCCTTTGGATGGAAACCTTAGATCTGTACGTTATTGAACTCCAGGAGCTCATTATAGCCACCTTTATGCAATCTTGGCCTTGTTCCAAACCCTAAGTGCTTAGTATTTGTTGATTTTGGGCATTTTAGCCTCATACTCTTGTGCATGCACGTAAAGTTGGAAACTTTACGTGTAAAAACAGTCCTAGAAGCTCAGATCTATGATCTGGAAGCAACGAAATCGATTAGAATCGACTGTATAGTAATAGCATGCTTGAGACTCGGCGAGTTGTTCTTCAGACTCGACGAGTTGTTCATACGACTCGGCGAGCCACAGACTGGACGTGTTCATATGATGAAGGAGAACTCGACGAGTTGTTCATACAACTCGGCGAGTCGGATGAAGTTAGACTCGACGTTAGTATCGAAGAAGAACTCATCGAGTCCTTGCTAAACTCGACGAGTAGAAGCGAGTAGAGGACTAGAATGGATAATAGGGACTCGGCGAGTTGGCGGCCCAACTCGGCGAGTCCGGTCAACTGGAAGTTGACTTTGACCAGGAAGTTGACTTTGACCAGGGGTAAAATAGTCATTTTACCCTAAGATTAGTTACCAGTATTTGATTTAGTGTTTATGGGATTTGTAGCCGGGGAGTTTCGGAGCAGCAGTCAGGCAGTTTCAGATTTAGCATCTCGGCAGCCAGCGTTACGAGGTGAGTTTTCCTTCCAGTAGGAACGGGTCTACGGCCACAATGCCGACCCGTTTAGTTAGCAGTAGTTCCGGACTTCGGTCTGATGCAGTAGTTCAGTGTGCTTGATGTCTTTGTGATTCGAGCATGTCTTTGTGTTATGTGTTCCGGACTTCAGTCCGATGCAGTATGCAGTATATGTGTTTATGCGAGTAGTTATGATTATGCTATGCTATGTTCAGTCAGTTCCGGACTTCGGTCCGATGCAGAGGGCAAGGCCCTGGTTAGTTCCGGACTTTGGTCCGATGCAGAGGGCAAGGCCCTGGTTAGTTCCGGACTTCGGTCCGATGCAGTTTCCGGACTTCGGTCCGATGCAGAGGGCAAGGCCCTGGTTAGTTCCGGACTTCGGTCCGATGCAGTTTCCGAACTTTGGTCCGATGCAGTGGGCAAGGCCCAGTAGTTGCTTTATATGTTATTGTATGGTATGTGGTAGTTTGGGGGAGCTCACTAAGCCTTGTGCTTACAGTTTCGGTTTTTGGTTTCAGGTACTTCCGCTAGTAAAGGGAAGAGCTCGGGATGATAACATGACACACACCACAGCTTCAGTTTATCCTGGGAGTTTTATTCAGATATTTTGATAGGTTTTGACATTAGTTGATTTGATAAACTTATTATGACATTTTGAAACACATGATCCATGGATTTATCTTTTAAATATTTGATATGATGATTTAGTAAAGTTTTCAAACGAAAAATTTTGGGTTGTATTTTTGGGATGTTGCAATCAAGCTCCCGTTTTTTTTCAAAATTTGTCTATTGGTGAAATTGGTGCTTTTCTCTTCTGCAGAACATGCAAACCCTACAACAAATGTTATAATGATTAATGAAATGTTAATAATTAATGATTGAAACTCAAAGCTTACATCTTGATCTCTATATCTAAAAAACGTAGTTCTAATCATGAACAATTAAAATTATAATTTTAACCAATACAAGTAAACCCTAATAAAAAATTACTCCATATAATTAGAGTGCATAACTGTAAAAAAAGTTCAAAATGATTTGAAATTTTGTAATTTATTTTAGTGCAAATTGAACAAAAACTAAAAAGCATCGAAGGAAATTAAAGATATTCAAAATAAAATAACCTGATCTACTTTTTAGGTATATGTGTGTTTGCTCCTTGTGCAATCTGTAGTACACGATCCAAAAGGGAAAAGAAAAAGACATGTATTTCCCTTTTTTTCCTTCCTGCATTCATACTTGTGTATACTATGCCAAAACCAAAAATCAAAATTGAAGACAGAAAAGCCTTTTTTTATCTGATGAAAGCGTGAGTTTTATGAAGGAGATGGTTATGGTGGTGATGGGAAGATGGATTCGAGATAGCTGATAGTATGGACGCCAGTTGATGGATCTGTAACAAGAGGAGGATTTTAAGAAGGAGGCGCCTCTTCTGCTCCACCATTAACAACGCCGATTCGTTAATCTGTTCGTCCGAACAGCAGCCATGGCTGCTTCCTCTCTGTTTCGAAACCATCCCATACTCAAACCCTATTCTGTTTTCACGATAGGAGAGATGAAGAACAAGGGATTGAAAGGGTAGACGGCGATTAGAAGATGTTGAAGGAGGGTCCTGGTGAACCCGTGTTGAACCAGTGGTGGTCCGACGGTCTTGTATGGTGATCGTTTCTATGTTGGCGTGATTTTATGGTCGTGATTTGGCTGGAACTGATGAAACGAAGATGGTGGTGACGGGAGAATGATGAAGACGGCAAGTATGAGAGACAGAATGATTGGGTTTGTGATAACCTAGTTTGGTTAATTGATTTCATTTTAATAAGGTTGACTGAATTTAATTTCCATATAATAGTTGCTAATTTTGTGGAAAGAGACAATTACCTTCGTACCTTTTTCCTATTTTTTGAAATTTAAAAAAATATTTAAATTAGTTGGAAATTAAACAAATGCTAAATTAATTCCAGTCTCAGATTTTGAAATTTGAAGGGTCTAGAATTGTTATCGCGTTCTCAACCTTTTTGGTGTTTTCAATTGATCCTACTCCTATATATATATATATATAGCGATATATATATATATATATATATATATATATATATATATATAGATATATATATATATATATATATATATAGGTTCAGGTTCATTTGAGACAATTCTAATTCTGTGAGACCGTGAGACCAAATCTAAAAATAATTTTAAAATGCAGAATAACTGGAAAAATCCAAAAATTCATTTTTTAAATATTATTTTCGGAACTTGAATTAACTAAAAAAAAATAAAAAAAAAATAAAAAAAATCCCTTTTTTTTGAAAAATACATGAAATATTCTAATAGAATATTATACTGATATATTCTAAAAAATAATTTTAAAATACAAAATAAATGGAAAAATCTAAAAATTCTTTTTTTAAATACTATTTTCGGAACTTGAAATAACTAAAAAAAATAAAAAAAAATAAGAAAAATAAAAAAAAAATCCCATTTTTTTTTGAAAAATACGTGAAATATTCTAATAGAATATTACACTGTACATATTCTAAAAAATAATTTTAAAATGGAAAATAAATAGAAAAATCCAAAAATTCTTTTTTTAAATATTATTTTCGGAACTTGAATTAACTAAAATAAAAATAAAAAAATAAAAAAAAAAAAAAAAAAAATAAAAAAATACGTCTCACGGTCCAACAAAATTAGACCGTCTTACATGAACCTAACCCTATATATATATATATATATATATATATATATATATATATATATATATATATATATATATATATATATATATATATATATATATAACAAATGTATAGTAGTATTCAACCAAAGCCGACATGAGTCCAAAGTTGCCGCTTGAAGTTTATTTTATTATTTAGGAGCGTTGCAAATTTAGAATTCCTTTCATGAATAAAAAAACGACAATTTTCATTTCCCACAAAGAAATCTGTCTCATTCAATTTAAATATGAAAACATTTAAATTAATATATGTCTAAGAGAATATATATTTTTTATTTTGATAATGTATTATTTTTTTTTTACCTTTTTATTTTTATTTTTAATTTTTAATTTTTTTTTTTAAATCAAACATCATATTTTTCAATTTTATTCAACTTTAACCATTAAACCATGATGCAAATCGGAAACGATAATGTAAAAATCATTAAAATAAAAAATATTATGTTTTTAGAATAAAAATTTAAAAATTCAGTTTCAAAATTTGTGCCATTAAACAAAAATAAAAAAACTTACATTAAACAAAAAATAAAATATTTGAGTTAAAACATAAAATAATATAGTATTATAAAAAAATATATAGAATGATTTTTTTTTACACAATTTGCCATAATAAAATCAGGTAAAGAAACAACGAACACATTACATATATATATTGTACTGATAAACAGAACATAAGGTCACAGGCTCACAGTTATGGCAGACTGAGTAACAGAGATACCAAGAATTTTGGTGCCCGATGTTTGGATTTTGATATCCTGCAAACGATATCCCTCAATTTCTCTACCTGTATTCCACAAAAACCCTAATTCTTATAACCATCTACTTTTACCAGGTAATTGCTTCGTTTTAGTTTCCGATTTAGTTATTTTAATTTCATTTAGGGTTCTATTGTGCAAGCCAGGCGATTCAGTTGTCATTGGTGACGCAATTTTGTTGTGGTTTTGACCGGATCTTTCTATACATATGTCTCGTGAAATCCTTCGGTTTTAGGGTTTATTTATTTAATCAGAATCACTATTTCGGCGAAATTCTATTAATCCGCTAAGGCCTGATGTGGATTTCGAGTTTTCTGATGCGGATTTCTCTTTTGTTTATGTCTCACGAATTACTTGGTTTCCTGTAGCTAATATATCCAGTATACATGATAGAGTAAAAAAATTCTTCAAAATAACTTATAAATTCAGAATCTCTGATAAATTTCTAGATTCAACATCTCTGTTTTTATGTTAGCAGTAGCACAACTATATTAGGTTTCATTGCTTTTGGAGATAAGTAGGGCTTCCTGTTTTGCAGTTTGTGATTCACATTTTGGGAATTCTTCAATTGACATATCATTTGTACACAACCATCATAAAAAAAAACTCTACTTAGTGGAAAATTGCTAATCATTTCCAATATATTTTGGACAACTATACCGTTTCTTTAACTATGTTTTTTGTATCCAGTTTTCTTTTCTGATTCTAATACTTTTCTTCCCATTCTTAGGTCACCATGGATCAGTGATATATCAGTTAAACTATCTATTGATACCTTCATCTCGATTCACATAACTTTGATGGGTGGTTTACTGAGTGTAAGCAGTTGTAAACAAACGGAAACCTTTCATGTTTCAAAATCTGAATCCAGCAAGAGGCAAAAAACATCATCAACCATTTGGGATGACAACCCTAGATTAATCCCCAATCTCCCTGATGAAATCTCACTTGAAATCCTTGCAAGACTTCCAAGAATCTGCTACTTAAATGTAAAAGCAGTCTCACGAAGCTGGAAACTTGCAATAACAAGCCCCGAAATTTACAAAGTCAGAAAAGAACTAAAAACAACCGAAGAATGGCTCTACATATTAACCAAAACTCAAGGCGATAGACTATTATGGCACGCATTCGACCCAATTTCCAAAAAATGGCAAAAGCTACCCCCGATTCCTGATCTTCCATTCGAAGATGAAAACAAATCATCTGGTTTTCGAGTGTGGAACATGGTAGGATCAAGTATAAGAATTGCAGATGCAGTTAGAGGATGGCTTGGAAGAACCAACGGCCCAGATCAAATCCCGTTTTGCGGGTGTGCAATCGGAGCCGTTGATGGATCTCTTTACATGTTAGGCGGGTTTTCAAGATCAAGTGCAATGAATTCGGTTTTCAAATATGACCCGATTTTAAATTCTTGGAGTGAATCAAGCTCAATGTTGGTTGGAAGAGCTTATTGTAAAACCGGTGTTTTGAACAACAAACTTTTTGTAGTTGGTGGTGTTAGCAGAGGACGTGGCGGTTTAACCCCGCTCCAATCCGCGGAAGTTTTCGACCCGAAAACCGGGTTATGGTCGGAAATTCCAAATATGCCCTTTTCAAAAGCACAAGTGTTACCAACTGCTTTTTTAGCGGATTTACTTAAACCGATTGCAACCGGATTAACAACTTATCGTGGGAAATTATACGTTCCTCAAAGCTTATATTGTTGGCCTTTTTTTGTTGATGTTGGTGGTGAAGTTTATGATCCGGAATTGAATTCCTGGGTTGATATGCCGGTTGGAATGGGAGAAGGGTGGCCCGCGAAACAAGCCGGGACTAAATTGAGTGTGATTGTTGATAATGATCTTTATGCTTTGGATCCTTCGAGTTCTTTAGAAAGTGCTAGAATTAAAGTTTATGATCATGTTGAAGATTCTTGGAAAGTGGTTGAAGGTGATGTTCCGATTCGGGATTTCGCGGAATCGGAATCGCCGTATTTGCTTGCGGGGTTGTTGGGGAAGCTTCATGTTGTTACGAAAGATGGGAATCAGAATATTGCGGTGATGCAGGCTGGGAAACGGAATGGTGATTCCGGAGAAGGGTCGGAATCGGAATCGGAATTGAATGTTTGGAATGTGATTGCTTCGAGGAGTTTCGAGTCTACTGAGCTTGTGAGCTGTCAGAATCTTGATATATAGGTGAAGCATTTCTCATAATCTTTTGTTTTTTTATATTTTGAAGTTACATGTTGATATAAGATTATAAGTATCATTGTTTTTTTGTTTTCTGTTATGGCAGTTATGGATTTGGGGCCCACTGTATCAGTTTGTTTGCCGGTAAGTTTGTATGTGAGGAATGTTTTGAAATTGTTTATATGGTTGTGTTCTTTTACATGAGGATTTTCAAGATGTAAATAATGACTATTTGTGTTTTGTAAACTTCTTTAATTCGATAACAAACTTTACCATATTAATCCACAAAAATGTGTTTTACGTTGCCTTTTTTTTTTTTAAACTTATTATTATTATATATTATTTTATGTGCATGTTTTTTTTTTTTTTTGAGGAAATGTAATGGGTAGGCATATGAAAACAAACTTATTTATCATCTAGGCTGCTGTTAGACAGGCTGTACAAACTTTTTTTTTTGGATCTTTTCTATTACACCCCGCCCCGCTCCCGAGTTCAACTTCAGGAGAAAAACGAAAGGAAATAGGTGAAAGTGAGAGGAAAGTAAGAGAAATTGGTGCTCCCGAGTTTCATTAAAGGAAGGAGGTGGAAGGAAATGAAAGGATCACTTTCCTTCCTAACTTTCCTTCCGATTTGGAAGGATTTAGAAAGAAAGAACAAAATGTTTAACTTTCCTTCCATTTCTCTCCAATTTGGGAGCACAAAAGACAAATTTCTTTTCTTTTCTTTTCTCTTCTTTTCTCTCCATACTTTCTTTTCTCTTCTTTTCTTTGCTACAACTCGGGAGCGGGGTGTTAAGGATGAGAAGTGCATTTTTGTCTTTTGCAGCCTAACACCTGGTTTCTTTTATCTTTTGGGTGTGGCTTGTTATTGAATTAAGAAAGGGCTATTGCGTTATGGTATGATGGCACTTGGAAATATTCTTATATGATGCGTAGTATACACATTATTATTAGAGAAAATGATCGTAACAGTGTTTTTTTTGACACAAAAAAGAAAATTGAAAATGATCAAAATAACCAAAGTTTTTGCAGAGCCTATCTGCGAAAATCCACGTTAATAGCGAAAGATTTTCTCAGATGTTGCCTGAGTAATCGGTGTTTTTTTTTTAATCGAATTTTGAACCTTCATAACTCTTTCGTGTGATGTCCGTTTGAGTTTTTTTTTTTCATTTTGTTTTTCTTTAACAAGGTCTATCCATGGACATATCACATTCCCATTTGGAGGTCGGAAAATCATTTTTTTAGTTCCAAAGTAGGATACTCAATGAAAAATAAACAAACTTTGAACCTTCATAGCTCTTTCATACGAAGTCGAGTCAGGTTGAAGTATTTTTTTTCACTGCGTTCACCGGTTGAAGAATTTGTATTTTTGTAAGCTCCAAACTAGGATGGTTTGTGATATTTTGAATGAAGTTTTTATGGAGGTCACATTGATGAGATACTATATTATTAAATAACATATAACATTACACCTCTAACCTCTTGGTCTCAACATAAGGTGTGAGATCACCATATTGCCACCCCAGTGAAAAAGTTATATTGTCTTTTAATGCTTAAAAGTAGTTATATGTATCTTTAAATAAAGAAAATACTTTCTACAACCACTATTAACATTGGCCCTAAGTAGCTTCCATTAAATGAACACTGCTTATAAAGAGCAATGACAACATGTGCCTTAGAAATTGCTAAAATCCACAAAAAAAAAAAACAATGGTAACCATTATTAGTAAAACTATAACGGTAAATATGCAATTTATATATTACAAAAGCATCTTACCATACATCCTAAGGCCATGAAACATAATTCAAACTGTCCATAGCATTTTTCTTGATTATGGTTATGGTATTGAGATTGGTTCTTTCAACATTATGATTATGAAAGATTACTGGTAGGTTGGCAAAACTTAGTTGGTGAACTTCATCCGATGAACTCAATTTCAAATACATTGATATAACTTAAATTAGTTGAAAAAAGATGATTGCAAAATGAGTTTAATGTAGCATATTTATAGGAAAATAATAGGACATTATTGTCAAAGTGTCTAAATTCCTGGTGAGATGACAATTCCTAAATGACATTAAAATTCTTATTAGATTACCATAATGCGTAGTCAAAGTGTATATTTTCGTAGTCAAAGTGACATTACAATTCCCAGGTGAAATGATAACTCTTATTAGATGATTGAAATTCGTAGTCAAAGTGTATATTTTCATAGTTAAATTGACATGACAATTCGCATATGAAATGACAATTCACTAGTGAATTGATAATTCTTATTAAATGTATGGAATTCATAGTCAAAATGTATATTTTTGTAGTTACAATTCACCGGTGAAGTGATAATTCTTGTTAAATGTTTAAAATTTATAGTCAAAGTGTACAAATTCATAGTCAAATTGATATGACAATTCATATATGAAATGACAATTCTTATTAAATGTCTGAAATTCATAATCAGAGTGTACATTTTCATAGTCAGATTAACATGACAATTAATTTGCCACCTAGCGTATGTAGACTATTCTGTATAAAGAGGATAAAATAATAATGATTATGTACCAAACATTCTTACAACTTAGCATTCATATAAGTGGGGTTTTGCTTGGAGAAATGTTTTCCTCTCCCCCTTCAAAAGAGTGGTCTAAAATTGCTCATCCCATCAATAACCATTCCGGTTTGAAAAACACTTTTAGACCTTGGAATATGTCTGGAAAATGAAGAAGGAAGTAGAAGCCAAAAAGAAGAACCGGAGAAACACACTCGCCATATTGGTGCACGGAGGGATGCAATGGATAGAAAAGAAGAAATAAAAAAAATGAAATGGATAAAAAACGAAATTAGAAATAAAGAAAAAAGAACAAATGATAAAGGGGTCTAAAAAATCTCTAATGTTGGAAGAAGGAGAGTTGATGCTTAAAGTAAATGAGATGACTAAGAAACAAACATGGGTTAACATAGAGAAAAAAATTTCCGTTGGATTACCCTGAAATGCAGATAGGAGATTATTAATACTATGTAGTGTATTAGAATATGATGTTTATTAAATGTTATGTTGTTTGTATTGTTACCGTTACACTATTTTTTATTTGGTAGTATTATTCAACAATGATATGATGTTTTTAGTAAATTATATTATGTAATATCATTTATCTATTCAATGTACACCTACCACACCACCTACCACCACCTAAAATTTATATATATATATATATATATATATATATATATATATATATATATATATATATATATATATATCTATTTAATGTACACCTACCACACCACCTAACTTTTCTATATAAAGACTGTGATAACTAATTTATAGAAAACATGTATTCTGCTTCTTCTCTAGCAAAAAAAATTCTACCAAATCTCCCACAAGTTCAAACATCCTAACGACGAATCACTTATAACATGAAGGGATTCTAATGAGGTTAATGAGACTATATCAGCCAAAAGAAAGAGAAATAGAAAACAACTCTTTTAATATCCATGTTGCATGGGAAGGAATGAGTTATGTAGAGGAAAGACGAACATGATAAAATATGCAAAAGAGTTCATAACAAAACTTGAACAATTAATACAGGCTGCAGAAGCAGAGCTTTCAAAGAAAGAACGTGAAATAAGGGTCGAGGCTTTGGATATGAATGAAAAATTAGAATGCGTTGCTGCGAAGAAAAAAACTTCCCCTACGAATTTCCTGAGTTTCCTGAATGACATATTGCGATGATGAGGAGTAATATGTGTGGGGGTTGTTTACTTAAATTTTTATATATGTTGGTTTCTAATTTAGTTATGTTATGTAACATTGATTAATGTTTTGTGACCCACCCTTTACCATAGTAATGAAAATATGTGTTTAACCGATATTTAGTAACATAAATAAGAACATAACGAAAAACCACAATTATAAGTCTTGCCAATAAAAAATGTAAAACATGTTCCTATGAGAAGGTATTCAAGTCGCATGTCGGGAAAACACTATGGTTTTGTGACGTAATAAAAAAACATAACGCCGATGTCGTTAGTTTCGTTGTTACCTCCGCTGCATAAAGTAACAAGTATTACTGTTAGTTTCATTTTATGCTAAAGGAAAGAATTAACTATATATTCTCCGTTCTTGTTAATTATACATGCTTTATTCTGACGCTTATAACACCAATGTTGCATGGTCATTCGAAAGAACTCAAGGAACATCATTATCGATATCTTATGAGCATCTTTCGACCATGCGTTGATGTATTCTGTACTATTTGATGTCATAAAATTATAACGATAACCTGAATGTGACTACTTTTTTGAGCTTCTACTAAGTACTTCAACTCGGTATATTTGTTTAAACGCAATGCTTTCATATAGTACTTAAAATCTTCCACTCTTTAAGCTTTTGCATAGCCTTCAAAACAATGTTTTTTTCATAACATTTTTGTTTAACTTGGATACTATGTTCGCGAAAAGATGATAACCACATACACCATAATACACATTTAGGAATATATTTGCAATGGGCGTGGAACAGAGACCCTATCATAAATGAATGTTAATGGTTCCAAGTCCCCGATATAGTTACGTAGTTTTTTGTAGGAACCATAACTACGACCCCATGCACTCATTCACCAAAAGAATATCGACTTCCTCGCTCAAATTATGAAATTTCACGACATCTTCTTTTTCCTCCATGTGCTTCCCTATCAATATGTATATTTCTAGAACACTATTCACATCTCCTACAATCTCAAGCTTTTCATTTCCAACAAAATTTCAAATTACAGTAATCACCCACTCTTGAAATAACTCCATTTTTTAAACATTAACATTTTGTTCTTCAAATGAGTCAATCATTCCACTAATGTTATCGTTACAACAAATGATGTAGTAGCTTAATTCACAAAATCTGAGTATCCCAAAGCAATCCTTTTACATAATGACTAATATTCTCTTATTTAACAAACCATGTTTTTTTTAACAAAAATAACATACATGTTAATTATGACATCCTCTATTTTTCATAACTGAATAAAACTTTTCTTTTTGCATTTTAAAACCATGTTGTCTTTGTTTGTGGAAAGTTATAGTTTAATAAAACGTTTTGAGTTATAGACTTTGTTTCAAAATACCAAAAACACTAAGAATGTCATAATCAATACACAACATATGTTACAATGTAAAGACATATCCGCCATGAATACTATTGCAGGTTGTCTCTTTATTCACTCGAAATTCATATTCAAGTTCCAAAAGCTCTAGTATCGCTACCTGTGATTCATATAGCTTGAATGGG